TGGTGCGAAGACTCCGCAAGAAGAAGCCCGACTCACCGGTCATCCCTCAAGAGTCCCCTCCAATCGTTCAAGAGGCCCCTATTCTCCCTCAAGATTCCCCCCCACCGTTCAAGAGGCCACTGTCATCGTTGAAGAGGTCCCTCCCACCATTCCAGAGCCCGATTCACATGGGGTAATATATCGAAGTATTGAGAAACCCCCACCAGTTCCGGACATGATGGATGAGAGTTGGCTCTCGTATGAGTTACCGGCTAGTACCCTTCCGGTATCTGAAGTGGAGAGAAGACAACTACCGGAAACAATTGTGGATAATACCCTTTGGGCTAAGACCGCAGTTGATTTTTATCTACATGAGCGGAGCCAAGGGTGTTACACTGACATCAGCAAACTCAACGATGAAATGTTTTTGTTGCTTGATCGGTCTTGGTGGGGTGTGCTATTAGGGGTTGAAGACAGTGGCTATTTGGATGGGGAGGTAAGCCTTATATATGTCTTATATATGATTTTGATTAATTTGTTTAAAAATTAATGTAATTCACTAATATATGTATTTTTTTGTAAAACAACATATCGATGCGTGGTTGTCACGTCTACTAATAATAAGGAAGCTTAGGAAAAATAAAAAAAATTCGCTATATACAATAATGCCAACGGCTTTTCACGCAGTTCACTTGAAGAATCAACGAGATGAATCATTTTTGTTGGGCAATGGACAAGCTAAACTTTATCCTGCATGGTGGGAGGTCGATAAGGTTAGTGTTTATTTTTAAAATTTTTTAAAGGTGTTCATAAATAAGTGCGCAAATAAATGAATTATTACTTATGATCGCAGGTGTTTATCCCTGATTTGAGAGATATTTTCAAGGGATGGAGCTCTCATTTGGCTAAATTCTTGGATGAGATTAAGTATTGGAGTCATTCTGGACACAAGAAGCCAAAGAAGTTCAATGTCACAGTTGTCAGAGACGAGACCGCGCCACAGCAATCACCGGGAGCCAGAGGGGATTGTGGTCCTCTCGTATGCCTTTGCTTGGCGCGTTTGACGACGGGAAGCACAGAGTTTTTACCTCCCACCGATAGAGATAGAGCTGCAGTAGGCTTGTGGTTTCGGCATTATATGGCTAGAGCAATATATTCGAGACGCTGCCTACCTGCATCCGCGTTATGAAAGTGTCCATTGTTAATTGGTAAGTCAAATGCAAGTTTTGTTAACATATATACTCCTTTTGGTTTGAAAATGTTTGGTTAATTACCTAGAATTCAATAATTTGTTGTTTGTAGGTTTTAGATGTGTAGGAAGTCTTGTTTGAGCAAATGTTTGGTTTCTGCAGGTTAATCCTTAAGTGAGCTGCGTGAAATGGATGTACGGGGTCACAAAGTTGTTGATTCATTGATTCAATAATTGATGAAGAAATAAGAATTATTATTATTATTTGATTGTTTAATTGATTTGTAAAAGATGATTTGTAAATGTTTATTTGTTTAATTGATGTGTGCATAATTTGTGTTGAAATGTAATAGTTGATTTGTTGATTTTCAATCTGCTTTATGTTGAAGACAAAACAGACTATCGCAACGCGAAATGGCTATCGCAACGAGAAAATCGCAATGCGAAATGAAAATCGCAATGCGAAATGAAAATCGCAACGAGAAAACCGCAATGCGATTTTCATTTCGCATTGCGATTTTCTCGTTGCGATAGCCATTTTCGCGTTGCGATCTAAATGCAAGGACGTGTAGTTGTATGAAATGGCAAACATCTGGTTATCCGTGTGGCCATGTTATAAAAGTTGCTCTTCATCTAAACCAAGATGATTCAAGCACATACGCTATGGATTGCTACACTACAGAAGTATATCGACAGACTTACGCCGAGATTGTCTACCCTATTTCACATCCTTCTGAGTGGGACATACCAGATGACTTACAAACAGTTTTGCCACCAGCCATGGACAGAAGGCTACCTGGCCGACCAAAAAGTCACGATCGTATACCGTCTAAGGGTGAAGAGAAGAAGAGATTGACATGTAGTCGGTGCAAGGAAAGTAGTCATACAAGGTTGACATGTGGATCACCAGTGCCATCACAATCATCTTTTCCTCTACCAAAATATGGATCATCATCAAAATCCAAAGCTCATATGGTGTCAAGAAAAAGGCAATCAAAATCGCAATCATCTTTAAAATCCCAATCACAACTGGCTTCACCTTTTGGGACTGTTAACTTAGGTGATTTTTAAATGCAAACGTTGTATTATGTAGATTTTATGTGTGAACTTTTAACATTTTCAGTTAGGCATGTATTAGTAACTTGAGTTTGAAAATTGCTATGATCTGTTCCAGTTGTTATCACTTAATAGGCAATCATCTTAATGTCTATCGCAACGCGGAAATTACTATCGCAATGCGAAATGAAAATCGCAACGAGAGAATCGCAATGCGAAATGAAAATCGCAACGCTAATTTCGCAATGCAAAATGAAAATCGTAACGAGGGAATCGCAATACGAAATGAAAATCGCAACGCGAATTTAATTTCGCGTTGTGATTTTCATTTTCGCGTTGCGATTCTCTCGTTGCGATTTTCATTTCGCATTGCGATAGTACTTTTTGCCTTCAACATAATGCAGATTGAAATCAACAAAATCAACCATTACATTTCAATCAATTAAACAAGTACAAATAAGAATTATGTTAACATCAATTAAACAAATCAACTTTTACAAATCACCTTTTACAAATCAATTAAACAATCAAAAAATAAGCAATAATTATTAGAGAAAATAACACTTCTACTATTGAATCAACTTTTGCAGCCATACATCATTTTCACGCAGCTCACTTCTGAGATTAACCTGCATAAACCAAACATTTGCTCAAACAACACTTTCTACAAACGCGAAATGACTATCGCGACCAGACAATCGCAACGCGAAATGAAAATCGCAAACGCGAAATGAAAATCGCAACGCGAAATAAAAATCGCAATGCGATTTTTGTATCGCGTTGCGTTTTTTATTTCGCGTTGCGATAGTTATTTCCGCGTTGCGATTTTCATTCTCGAAACTATTCTTCTTCTGCATTACTTCAACCAAAAGACAAAACAAAGACAAATACTAACTTCACAGGCTAAACAATTTAGCAGTATTGGCAGCAATCGAATGAATTTAATAAGAAATCTAAGTGAAATGGTTAATCTATTATTGAAATTACCAGTAAACTTATCATCAATCTCAATATGAAAAACCTAAAATAATGCAAAAATTTCAAAATAAAAATAAAAAAACTAACCCTCGGAGGTTGATTTTCCATTTCTGCATTACTGAGTGTTGTGTTTTTGGGTTTGAGGTTATGAGTTGCGATTACTGTGGACGGTTCAGTTTCCGAGTTATTAAGAAAAAATTCGTGTTTGGAATTTGAAAAAAAAATACGCGTTAATACGAATGGCGCTATGTAAATCGCGTTGCGAAAGTCAGAATCGCGTTGCGAAAGTCAGTATCTCGTTGCGATTTTGTATTATCGCATTGCGATAGTAAGTATCGCATTGCGATTTTCCCAATTCGCGTTGCGATTTACTTATTCGCATTGCGATTTACTTATTCGCATTGCGAATTGGGAAAATCGCAACGACACTGTATACCATCGCAACGCGATTTCCAACTATCGCAACGCGAAATGCAACGCGAATTTGCGATAATGGAGATCGCGTTGCGAATTAGCGATCGCATTACGATTTTGTTGGTCATTTTGGCAAATCCGAAAAAAGTTGGTTAAAATCGTAAATTATATGGGATTTTGGTCACTGAGGTTATTTTCTCTCTTTTAAATATGCAAAAACGATCAATGTCTATTTGAGCTTGCTACCGAATCTTTATACATATATAATTGCTTGCTTGTCTTTGAGTATAATAGTTAATGTAGAATAAAGAGAGAGGTTTTGTTTTGATGTGTTTTCCCCTCCATTTCCCACTCTTTGCTTCAAAGGCTGAATATATATCCAAATGGGACATAATTGGACTAGGAAATGAACTGATGGTCCAAATGCCTTATAATATACAACTTTTTTTGGATTTACGAAAATGACCAACAAATTTGCAATGCGAACTCCAACTTCGCAACTCAGTTTTGAAATTCGCAACGCGAATTTGTAAATCGCAATACAGAAGTCAAATTCGCAACACAGAAGTCAAATTCACAACACACAATTGAAATTCGCGTTGCGAATTTCACTTTCGCAACACGCACACCTTTCGCAACACGCACACTTTGCTGCCTTTCGCAAAACAATCCCTTCCAAAACTTCCCAATAAATCTTCCATCTCGGTCATTGACTATGCTCTGAGGAATGCCCCAATTTTTCACCACATGTTTGAACACCAACCTAGCAATCTCTTCCGCCGAACAATACTTCGGTGCTGGTACAAAAGTGGCATACTTCGAGAACCTATCCACTACCACCAGAATTGATCCAAGATCTCCTTCTCGACCACCCCCGGAGGAGGAGCCAAGGTTCCGGAGGAGAAGATTTTAGTGACGGTTCGGATTGCTTGCGATTGCGTGAATGACCATACCATCGTTTTCAAGAACCTGAACCACGAACGCCCAGCTAATCAGTACAGCTACGGTATCTTATCTCACACATTATTGTAAAATCTGATCGGCTGCTTAGAAAGAGGGAACAATTCTTTCATCATTGTTTTTCTAATTTTGGATAAATCAACTTAAATGTGGCAGAACGAAGATGGTGCTAAGGATGTTGTATTATCTGCTCCAAGACTTTTGGATGATCCTGAGGTACATTTAAATGAATCCTTTTTTTATATTTCATAGTTTTCCATTCTTTGAAAAACTATAGCGAGGTACCATTGTGGAAAAACTTGTTGAAGAAGTGGTCAAGGAAGCCAACATTTGTGACACTTAATTGGCATTTGTGAAGGTAATTTCATAATTATGAGATGTAATTAATTATTTATATCGTTGGTTAAAATGACATACGCTTCATTAATCATGAATATTTTATACTTAATTCTGCAGAACAAAGGCAGGTGGGAGAAACAGCTTTGAATGATAAAAGCTCAAGGTCACATTTGCAGCATTATTCTTCAACATCCTCTTTAATATCCAAGTCAAAATCTGGTTCCTTCTGGAAATAAAACATACAGAAAATTAACTATCTTGTACAAGGAAGCAGAAAAGAACACACGAAGTAACAGTGAAATAACATGTTTAGAACAGGAAAATCAAAACCTCAGTTGCAGGATCAAACATATTCTACAACGGCAAACACTCACTGAGCTGTCCAATAGGATCAAGGGGTATAGTAGACTTGATTGGTGGTAGAACTGGTGTCGGATATGCACCCTGGCCATTGAAAGGTCTGTAACAGTCTTTTTATCTTTTATCTTTAGTGGCAACTGCAAAATGAAAAAAGATATACGGGCTTAAAAACACCCACAACAATACTATAAGAATGACACGATGACCACAATGTTGATAATTCTTAATGCTTTCAAGTTGTGTACCTGAGCCTTGAGAGCTGCAGCAGTTTCTGTTCCAACATCAACAGTATCTTGAACAACCTAATATTAAAAAGGGTCAGGCAAAATTAGTCTTTCATTATCAATAGCCCATCAATCTGGATGTGTTAATGATGGGAGGAATTAATACAAAAATTTGGACATCCCAAGACTTCTTGCATTTTGTTGATTTTTAGTTCAATATAGAAAGAATATAGAAGGAAATTTCAATATCTAAGGATCTGAATATAAAACCAATTATTTCTCCCTATAGAAAATGCACGGGGTGTCATATAATCAGATTGCAGAAAAAAGTTTGATAACAACCTTATTAGCCCTGTCAATGGCTTGATCAGTCTCATCCATCATCTGGTTTCCTCTATCCTTTAGCTGTTGATTTGTCATAGCTGCAGAATATACAGGTTGTCTCAGAAGAAGTTCAAAATTGAAGAAAAATACGATACCTACAAATCATTTCCAGCACATTCCAACAAAATCCCAAGAATCAATGTAAAGGTCTCAGAATTGGATCGGGCAGAATGGTAGACCAAAGCTTCATAGTAAGATCATTTCTGGAAATTCATGCTGCCATACTAACAGAATATATTACCCACTAGATACAGCTCTGATCAACGTTCGAATAGTTCTTCATAGCAAAGTTCAAACTGAGAATTACTGGCACATCTTACAGCCACTACCATTAGACAATCACTCTATAATAAACGAGAAACTGAGAATTGTTATGGCATGCGAATAGTAGAAGAAAGCTTCATAGTAAGATCATTTCTGGAAATTCATGCTGCCATACTAACAGAATATATTAGCCACTAGATACAGCTCTGATCAACGTTCGAATAATTCTTCATAGCAAAGTTCACTCTGAGAATTACTGGCACATCTTACAGCCACTACCATTAGAAAATCACTCTAAATAAACGAGAAACTGAGAATTGTTATGGCATGTGAATATACTGTGATATTACCAGGCTGGTTCCTCAATATCGAGAATAGAGTGAAAAACAAGAAGCAAAGACCAAGATTGATCCCAACAGAAGTTAAAAGAGCTGAAAGAATCATCTTTACAAAGACAGCTTTGATATACCACCCTCTCTAAGATTATTGAACACAACAACTCAATTGCAGTCCTCGACTGCCCAAACCAAATTCCCTGATTCAAAATTTAGAAAATTGTGTCAAAAATCTCAAAACCCAACAACACAAAAATCAAATCAAAATCCCTAAATAGTTTCCCAATTCTAGAATAGTAAACAAGAAAACAAACACACACCTTTGAAGCTTCGCGACCAATGTAAAGCGTCATCTTGTTGTCGTATTACCAAAGAAGAAAAAGACTTGGAAAAGTCGGGGAATGAAGAAATTTAACAAGGCAAAGGAGAAAAAGTCCTCCGAGTTTGGGGGTTGCAAGATGAGCAATGGCTGAAGAAGTCTCACTCGGTAGAACAAAATCGCACATCTAGGGGGAAAGCATAAACAAAACGGTATTTAAAACAGAACGCAATAAGACACGAACAGCAGAGCTTTGACACTGAGGAGGCTTAGAACGTTTGCTTTTTGCTGATGGATCTAAATCTAATCCACAAAGCAGGGGATATCCTTAATTAGGCCAAACACCTTGTGTAATATAGCCCACAGCATCACCACTAATTCCAACATTATTGACACTGAAATGGACGTTTGGTGAGTTCCCAAAGACATAGGAGGAACCATCTCCGTGTACGGTAACAGTGGGGGACACACTTGCCGGCCGCCGAAGATTATTACCAGTAATAATTGTTTGCGGTGAAGTCATGTGATTCTGAACAAGTTGATTCAGACCACATGCGAAGAAGACTCCGGCAAGTATACCCTCAGCCAACTTCACCTAATATAATAGGGAGTCATAATTATTACTCTTTTTCTATGTGTATAAGGTTACAAATATGCATCCCAAAATTCCTACCTCATTTCTCAAGGCTACGACATCTGACCTGAGCACTCGATTGCAAGTTCCAGCATCACGACATAGTTTATCAGCATTTGTAAGCCTCTTAAATAGGGAATCACTTTCTCCTCTCAATTGTTTAGCCTTTTACAAAGAATAAAATAAATTGTTAAGGACTGTGCTTCTATAAGGTTTAAAATTGATACTAGTAGTAAATACATAATAACCTGGAATTCAAGATCAGCGAGATGCTCTCGCTTTCTTTTCCTTGATCGCCTGGCAGACTCCCTATTAGAGAGAATCCTGCGGGAAATACTTCCTGCTGAATTCCTCGAGGGCCAACTCTGAGGCGCTCCGCTTCATAATCTTTATCTTATCAATTAATTATTAAACGTATGTTGATTCATTAGAGACTGCCACTGATCTTAATAGACAAACGAAAAGTTGGTGCTTTAGCTCAACTGATAAACATCATGCATACACCACCGCCGCCATACTTTTTCAGCGCACTGAAATGAAAACACAAAGAAAGCATCCGAAGAAAATAACGTACATCCGACACACTGTAATGAAAACAGATCTGAAGAAAACAACACAAATACGTCATAATGAAATAAAAACACTGAAACAAGATAACGCAAAACAGGGATTATTTGAAGCGATAAATCGACCGCATGCCCCATTTTATAAGCATCGTGAATTTATCACAAGCCCATACATTAGGATAAAATTACAACATAAAGGCATAAAGAAAACATGAACAACAAAACTTCGTGCATAACACAGAAATGTTTATAAAACCTTATAATGATTTTAGTTTGTCTGGGTTTAGGGAAACTTACAATTTGGTGTAATCATCCATAGTTGGTTGTCTCCAACAAACCATTCCCGTGCAGCAACAGTGATGCTGCTATTGCCTGGTAAAGTAGCAAGATTGAGGCCAAAGTTATTAGCCAGACGTATGGCTTTCAAGCCATCGCTGCCTACACTTGGCGCATTCCATAATACAGACTCGTCCAGAAGGTCTGATTGGCAAGGTACCAGTTGGACCTACGGATCAAAATTCCATAATTTTTAAGTAAAGATTTAAGGCTAATGAATTCCAAACGTGTTTTTTCTATAGCAGGAGAAGATGCTCCCATGGGGATGTTTAAGGGCTTCAGCAGTGGCTTTATTAGTCAAAGCAAAAATCTCTTCTCCATGAAAGGAACTATAAAGAAAAACTCAAGTGGCCCATATACCTCCATCCTCCGAGAGCATTTGAAAATTGGTGATCCAGGTTTGGCCATAAAATCACCCTCTTGACCACCAATAACATAATGACTATCTTTAAACACAACACATGCCCTAAATTGATGACATTCAAAAGATAAAGTGTATGTGAGAGAATATATAAGGAATACACAACTGAAAATAAGTTGCAATTTTTCTTGGCTATTAAAGAACAAATAGAAGCCTATAAGATATGACTTATGCAGTCATTCTTGATCGAGGATGATACTTCCAAGTTCCAGACATTAAATGTTCCAATCAAACAGAATTTACATTGTCTTCCTTTTCCAATATTGGGTAAGGTTTCCATGTTCATCCGGTAAGAATATTTGCTTAAAGATATAAAGAAATAAACGTAAGAGACTATTCATTTTTCTTGCAGAATCCATGTCCGACAGTTATCTACAAAACACATTCTCGGGCATGGATTAAATGTGAACAACCATCCAAAAACTTTAAAAAGAAACATATATGATATAGACACGTACCTACATTCAATGCTCAAACTGGAGTATGAATCAAATGGGATATCAGCTACTGAAGATTTAAACCAAAATTTTCAAATGCTAAAACACAATAATAGTGCATAATTGCAGTAAGTGCGTTGTCAAAACAACAATTGTCTCAATTAGCTCTATGTATCATTTGATTAACTGCAAAAACTAAACATGCAGACAAATATCCATTCAGTTTTTTCCTACAAAAACGTAAACAACTATAAATAGTCTACAAAAGATGCAATGAAATCATAACCAAAATGTAAAACACCCAAACAGCACAAAAAGCAAAATCTTCCAACTTAATGCCGTAGACTACAAATATTAGATAAAACACTTAGACAAACCTATGAGGTCCTCCACGTGGAATGGGTACTTCACTCCTCCATTCTGTTTCCAATGCTTTCCCATCCTTTACAGCAAGGCTCCAATGCTCTAATCCGGGTGTGTGCCTATTCTCCTTGCTTCCACCCATCACATGAAGACTACCTCTCCAAAGCTGAGTGGATGGGGCATACCTGAAAATTCTCAGGGCCATATGAACTCAAGAACTCAGAACTCAAGATTCAAATGTTTTAACGAAATTTGATTCAAAACGAAACGAAAAACCAGATTTTATCCAGCAGCGATTAAACCAAAAACGTCAAAAATTTTGATAAAAAAATTTGTTTTTTTCTAAGGTTTTGCCTAAGGTTTAACGAGGAAAATGGAGAGAGGAAAAATACCCATTTTCGGGGATTACAGTTTTGAAGGAAACAGAAGCATTGCAAAAGGAAAGGGAAAGCAAAGGAGCGAGCACCTTAGATTTTGTTTCCTATCTCTATCCGCTTCCGTATCCCAGCTCTGAAGGCAAAGATGAGGAAAAATGTGTTATATTTTGTATGGGAGTGTAATCCCACATCGTTGTAGCAAGTAGAAAACAAAAGAAAGAAGAATTACCTGTTACTGCAACTGACTTTTGACTACATCAAGCGGGGTAGTGATAACCGGAGCAGAAGACCCAGCAAGAGCATCCGCCGTAGCATGGACAATCACCCGTTCATCACTTATACACTCTGGTGGAATCTCAATCAAACCCCTTTTTACTGCCTCATAAGTTGCGAAATGAACAGTCGTATACAGCGAATTCATGAGCAATGTCGTCCTGTAAGAAGCATAAAACGGCCGAAAACCTTCCTCTTTCAAAACCTTTTTAACACAATCAAACACACCTTCATAAGCATCACTCTTTCCATTTCCAGCTTATTTTCTGTAATCCCTAATTGATCCAAACAGAACCTAAAACACAACTAAAAAAGACGTAATTCAGCAGTATGACTGCTTCAAAGAACAAATCAAAACGGCAAAACCACATATATATAACGAAAAACACGAACTAAAGGCCTTCATACACATCAGACAGAAAACCTAACAAATTAGATGAAGCAGATCAACAATGAAATGTGCAGGAAAGACGCTAGATACCTTGTATTGAGAATTGAGCTCTTCTTGAGTTCAGGGATTTCTCCCTTTTTCGTCGTCGAGAAGTACTTAGAATCGTGCCCGCTCATATCTCACTCTCTGAGACCTCTTGACAATGTTTCTGATTGGAGTCGACGAAGAAGAAAAGGTACAAAGAAAGTGGTGAACAATTGCGTGAAATAGAGAGGGCGAGTGAATGAAGAGCGAGACTTCAGCGTTTTCACTATCAAGCTGCAGTAACAGAGAATCCCACATCAGGTGGGAAAGCACAAATGAATGGTATTTAATATAGAAGGCAATAATAGTTAAATTGAGCCGCCAGGCCTCTCTTGGGCTTTGGACGTTGGGCATGGGCATGGATCCTTGGTACACTCCACGCAGTGAGGAAGAGACTAGGGGTGGTGGGCGGGCATTTTGGTCGGGTCTAGGGTCTAGGGCTCGGGGTCTCAGGTCTAGGGTCTAGGGTTTAGGTTGAAGGCAAAACAGACTATCGCAACGCGAAATGGAAATCGCAATGCGAAATGAAAATCGCAACGAGAAAATCGCAATGCGATTTTCATTTCGCATTGCGATTTTCTCGTTGCGATAACCATTTTCGCGTTGCGATAGTCAAATGAATGTCTAATAAGTGATGACAACTGAACAGATCATAGCAATGTTCAAACTCTAGTTACTAATACATGCCTAACTGAAAATGTTAAAAGTGCACACATAAAATACACATAATGCAAGTTTTGTTAACATATATACTCCTTTTGGTTTGAAAATGTTTGGTTAAGTACCTAGAATTCAATAATAATTGTTAAAAGTTTATGCATGTGTTAATCCTCGTTGCCTTTTTCATTTCGCATTGCGATTCTATCGTTGCGATTTGCATTTCGCATTGCGATGGTCAAATGATTGCCTTTCGCAACGCGATTCTGACTTTCGCAACGAGATAATACAGAATCGCAATGCGAGTTTCAAAGTTCGCAACAGGTTTTAGTTTCGCAAGCCAAATTTTGAGTGTATATATATATACGCAGCAGCAACAACTCATAACCTAAATCCCTAAATCGCAACTCATTCCATCTCCATCTATCACTCTCTCCGGCGACATTCGTTCAAATATCCAACGACATCCTTCCCCATCCGGCAACAGGTCTTAGTTTCGCATCTCGTTTGTTTAGTTACAACCATGAAATCATCTAATGTTGATCATGTTTGGATAGATTTGTGTTTTGGAGGGTCATGGGAGAATGTTCATGGTGTTTTACAATATATGCCTTTACCCATGAATCTTCAACTAAAACTGTCATTAAAGAAGTTAACTTATGAAACCCTAATGTTACGTGTTTCAAAGAAATTGAATTTAGAGCCCCTAAGTGGATTTAGGCTATCTTATCAGAGAAATGGTAAAGTTTATTTGTTAACCGACAATGAAGATGTTGAACGATTCATTGCTTATATTAATGTTTCAAGTGATGATGTTACATTGTATGTTGTTGAACCTAGAAGTAGTATTGTTGGGTCAGTAGCGGGTAGTAATCAACTAAGTGGGTCAAAAAACCCACAGCCTTTCTCTAATCCAAATCCAAATCAACTTTCAGCACCAAATTCCGGTTTTCGTATTGACCAATTAGACGATGATGAGCCAAGAGAAAAAATTGTGAGTACTAGTCAGTATTCGAAATTTGATCTTGGTCAATACCCGAACTTTGATAGTGGTCAATACACGGATTTTGATGATGTTTCAGAAGAAGAAACAGACCCTGCGTGTAATGATTTTGATATTGGTCAATACCCGAATTTTGATGATGAAACACCCGTTGCCGAGGAAGATGTTGTTGATGATAATGAGGAGGAAGTTACGACTGTGAATGAACATGTTGAACATCCATTCTGTAATTCATATAACCCTGAAGAAGAAAAAGAAGAAGAAAAAGTCCCCGAAGAAAAGAAAATGCCACGGGAGTATAACTGGAATATGCCAGAATTACTTCAGTTACCGGAAGAAGAGTTGGCAAAGAAAGCAGTTGATTGTTACACAAAAGTTATTCGTATCAAGAAAGATGATTGTTTTGATACAAAGGAAGACTTGAAGATAGCTTTGTATACGAAATGTGTGGAAGATGGCTATCAACTAAAAGTTAACAAATCAAGCAAAGATCGTTTCGAAACAAGGTGTACGATTGACAAAAACTGTACGTGGCGTATGATTGCAAAGAGGATAAAAGATTGCGCAATGTTTCAAGTTAGGACTTTTATTGATAAACATACATGTTCAAGAACCCAAGTTTTTCCTCACCATAGACAGGCAAACAAAAAGGTGTTGGGTGGTTTTCTAGCTGAGTTAATGTTTTTCACAGCACTTATCACCGGAAAATTCACTTCCCCATGCTCCACCTCCGCAAAGCCACTTTCATCATCACCAACTAAAAGGAAAACAAGTTAAAAATTAGAGCTTTCCAAGTAAGAACCTAGAAAACCAAATGCCCAAAACGATCACACAAGAAGAAATGAAAGGAAATAGAATTGTAACCTTTTTTTCCCGCTTTTCATCTGCTTATAAATCAAAAAGAGAAATACATCTCACATGTAAAGTGGGAGGTTGCTTAGCGTAATAACATTGTGGGACAGCGAACTCTGGATCACCCTTAGCCGGCTCACCAGACCATGGAGAGCCAAAGGTCTTGTAAAGATTTTCTGATGAATTCAAATTTAACCCAAGTTTTGTTAGATCAATTCCAAGAGCAATAGACGTCAGATCAGGATCGCACATCCTTAGCACACTTTACAAACCAAGTAATCCAAATGGATCAGGATTAGACTGTGTAGACTGCAGCCTGCATCGATTTCATCCAAGGTTCCCTAAATGACTGACTGACAGCTGACATCTGTTGCAGACGAAAGTGTGATTGGTTTTGCTGCTGCTGATATTGCTGGATAAGCTGGTCATAACCCATACGAGAAACCGAATTTGAGGAATTTAGAGGTCTTAGACCAATCCCAGGTGGTTCACTGGTCTGAAATAAAAATTAAAGAGTGTTTTGAATAATTCTATGTAACATCCACCAAATAAGAGAAAACATTGATGGAGAGATCAATGCATCTATGAGTGTCCAACATAGGAACTCAAACCAATTTCTTCAACTTTCAAAGGATCCTTCATTTTGCATGTTGTTACAAGAAATAAGGGATTCTTTGGGTTTGACCAACAATGAGTCTCAATTCAATCATGCTACCGAAACACTTTCTGAATTTGATTATGAATCTGTGTCCCATGTACCAATAGAGAAAGATAACATATATTTTCCTTGTAAAAAAGTATTTAACAATAATGTTTGTTTGCAACATGGAGATTAAACTACCATTTCATGCTCTAAACAACAACTTTCAGAGGCCAGCTTTAGACAATGCTTTTAAAGCTTCAGAAAGCTCCTCTGGCGTTGCTCCACCTCTAATACTGCTGATCTAGGAACTGTTAACGATGTCGTTTCTCTAGTCTGTTGTTCGGAGCAATGCTTCAGAATCGTTTGTCACCACTTCCTTCATGATCAATGTCTTATGAGCCCCGGCTATCAGTTCCTTGTAATCTGAGTCTCCAGTTTCACTGATGACCACACATATGTTGGCGACATTCAGTCTGTAACGCACAAAAAGATACCTAGTAATTAGAATGAACTGGTTAATCCAATCCAGCCCTGGTACAGTGAGGACCACGCAAAAAGTAAATAACAGTGATCAGTCAACTACACATGAAACCAACTTAACAAAATCAACAATGGAGTTGTTGAGAATTGATTAAATTTATCATGCATGAAAGATCTTATAAAAGAAAGCTTCTTACTTGATGAACTAAAACATTTTGATATCACTTGTCTTGAGATTTAGATGGACTCATTTTACATGTTACAACTATGTCCATATTCATCTTTGATTGCCTCATTATTTAAAGCATTTAAAGCTATAATACTCAGACACAACTAACCAGTACGTCGACGTGGTCATTTTTTCTATGTTTCCCCATCTTTAAGAGAAACAAACAGCCAGAATGACATTGACTTAAACACCAAGGGTGTTTCAGTTGGTTTCTAGAATCAAAATCCATCTTAATATAAAGAATCGGTCTGCATAAGTGTATAAAACTCTACCTGAGTGCCTGTGCGCGAGATGCAAGGAGAGAAACAACTTGTATTCTACTCGAGTTCGTGCAATACATTGGATGGCAACGAAGACCTCACATCCTAAGCTTCTTCCTCAAATCATCCACTTTCTTTACCTGTAAAAGCAGTCACCATAAAATTCAAACAAGGAATACTATTAATTCTTCATCAATGCAAGATTGCAAGGCATATACAATTTATCCGACTTCCTAAACAAAACAAAACAAAAAATGTTGCAATTGATGGTGCTCCAGAAACTAACAACATTATTTTACATTAGCATTCAGAGAAAAGGACGTTATGCCACAAATTAAAGCTATTCAAGAACTTGAAATTTCAAAAATCCTATTTACAGCTATTCAATTAAAAATAGAAATTCAAACTCACCCACAGACAGCAGTAAGCAGATGAGAATATTTATATACTTATAAACCGCAGAAAAAGGAAAGAAAAGTAAACTGACAAAATTCCATTTGCTCTTCCATTTTTCATAGGTAACAGGCGTAGAATGAAACGAAGCAACGAGGGTAGCAGCAAGCCAGCAACTGTAGTGGATGGTTTTGAAGGTGACGAAGCTGTAAGCAATGAATTCTTGAGTAGTAACAAGTTTGGACATTTGGGTATCTGCATAAGCGATGAAATCAAGACAAAACCCACTCTTTTCACGAATCGATACAGAGGGAGCTTTGGGTGGTAAAAAGAAAAGAATTTGCATCTACCAAGAAGAAAGTAAGGATTTTTGTAAGTCCAAGAAGAAAGGTGTGTAAAGTAAATTGAAATATTCAGGAATGAAAAAACAATGACAATAAATACAAATATAAAAGCAAGTCCAAAAATTGGTTCATAGATTGAACCATCTACGACACTGTCCTCGAATCAGAATACTATAATTTGACAACCTCATATTCAGCCATTTCAAAGAATCCTAGAAAACACAACACCTCTATCAAATCATGGGATACCAGAAACAACACATGACCCGCGAAGAAGAAGAAGCAGAGAAACTGTGAAACCAACAAAAATCGGAAAATCCTGAAAAATCGAGAAGATGGTTATGGTGTAGAAGAAAAGGAGGAATACCAAGATAAGGAAATGGTTAAAGGAGTCGAATAATTGGAAGAAGGAACGATGTGAAGTTGATGGGAAATAAGAGTTGGGGATTGGAGAGTGGAAGAGAAAGGGAATACTGCACTGTAATTACGGTTCCTCTGCGTTAGTTTTCCATGTGAAGAGCAAATCCCACATCCCTTATAAAAGGAGAAAGCGAATGGTTTATAAACTAAAAAGCCAACAATATATAATATAGGCCTTTGGCCCATGTTTTGTGGCAGCAGCAAGTTTGGGTGGGCTTGTGGCTGCCTTTAAATCTTCAGTGTGTAGGAAGATAATAAGGGTGGTGGGCGGGCTTACTTCCGGGGTCCGGGGTCCGGGGTCCGGGGTCCGGGGTCCGGGGTCCGGGGTCCGGGGTCCGGGGTCCGGGGTCCGGGGTCCGGGGTCCGGGGTCCGGGGTCCGGGGTCCGGGGTCCGGGGTCTGGGGTTCAGGGTCTGGGTCTGGGGTTCAGGGTCTGGGTTTCAGGTTCAGGGTTCAGGGTTCAGGGTTAAGGGCTCGGGGGGGCTCGCTCGGGCTCGGGGCTCGGGGCTCGGGGCTCGGGCTCGGGGCTCGGGCTCGGGGCTCGGGGCTCGGGCTCGGGCTCGGGGCTCGGGCTCGGGGCTCGGGGCTCGGGGCTCGGGGCTCGGGCTCGGGGCTCGGGGCTCGGGGCTCGGGGCTCGGGCTCGGGGCTCGGGCTCGGGCTCGGGGCTCGGGGCTCGGGTCCGGGGCTCGGGGTCCAGGGGGTCCAGGGTCCAGGGTCCGGGGTCCAGGTCGGGGTCCAGGGTCCAGGGTCCAGGGTCCAGGGTCCAGGGTCCAGGGTCCAGGGTCCAGGGTCCAGGGTCCAGGGTCCAGGGTCCAGGGTCCAGGGTCCAGGGTCCAGGGTCCAGGGTCCAGGGTCCAGGGTCCAGGGTCCAGGGTCCAGGGTCCAGGGTCCAGGGTCCAGGGTCCAGGGTCCAGGGTCCAGGGTCCAGGGTCCAGGGTCCAGGGTCCAGGGTCCAGGGTCCAGGGTCCAGGGTCCAGGGTCCAGGGTCCAGGGTCCAGGGTCCAGGGTCCAGGGTCCAGGGTCCAGGGTCCAGGGTCCAGGGTCCAGGGTCCAGGGTCCAGGGTCCAGGGTCCAGGGTCCAGGGTCCAGGGTCCAGGGTCCAGGGTCCAGGGTCCAGGGTCCAGGGTCCAGGGTCCAGGGTCCAGGGTCCAGGGTCCAGGGTCCAGGGTCCAGGGTCCAGGGTCCAGGGTCCAGGGTCCAGGGTCCAGGGTCCAGGGTCCAGGGTCCAGGGTCCAGGTCCAGGGTCCAGGGTCCAGGGTCCAGGGTCCAGGGTCCAGGGTCCAGGGTCCAGGGTCCAGGGTCCAGGGTCCAGGGTCCAGGGTCCAGGGTCCAGGGTCCAGGGTCCAGGGTCCAGGGTCCAGGGTCCAGGGTCCAGGGTCCAGGTCCAGGGTCCAGGGTCCAGGGTCCAGGGTCCAGGGTCCAGGGTCCAGGTCCAGGGTCCAGGGTCCAGGGTCCAGGGTCCAGGGTCCAGGGTCCAGGGTCCAGGGTCCAGGGTCCAGGTCCAGGGTCCAGGGTCCAGGGTCCAGGGTCCAGGGTCCAGGGTCCAGGGTCCAGGGTCCAGGGTCCAGGGTCCAGGGTCCAGGGTCCAGGGTCCAGGGTCCAGGGTCCAGGGTCCAGGGTCCAGGGTCCAGGGTCCAGGGTCCAGGGTCCAGGGTCCAGGGTCCAGGGTCCAGGGTCCAGGGTCCAGGGTCCAGGGTCCAGGGTCCAGGGTCCAGGGTCCAGGGTCCAGGGTCCAGGGTCCAGGGTCCAGGGTCCAGGGTCCAGGGTCCAGGGTCCAGGGTCCAGGGTCCAGGGTCCAGGGTCCAGGGTCCAGGGTCCAGGGTCCAGGGTCCAGGGTCCAGGGTCCAGGGTCCAGGGTCCAGGGTCCAGGTCCAGGGTCCAGGGTCCAGGGTCCAGGGTCCAGGGTCCAGGGTCCAGGGTCCAGGGTCCAGGGTCCAGGGTCCAGGTCCAGGGTCCAGGGTCCAGGGTCCAGGGTCCAGGTCCAGGTCCAGGGTCCAGGGTCCAGGGTCCAGGGTCCAGGGTCCAGGGTCCAGGGTCCAGGGTCCAGGGTCCAGGGTCCAGGGTCCAGGGTCCAGGGTCCAGGGTCCAGGGTCCAGGGTCCAGGGTCCAGGGTCCAGGGTCCAGGGTCCAGGGTCCAGGGTCCAGGGTCCAGGGTCCAGGGTCCAGGGTCCAGGGTCCAGGGTCCAGGGTCCAGGGTCCAGGGTCCAGGGTCCAGGTCCAGGTCCAGGGTCCAGGTCCAGGGTCCAGGGTCCAGGGTCCAGGGTCCAGGGTCCAGGTCCAGGGTCCAGGGTCCAGGGTCCAGGGTCCAGGGTCCAGGGTCCAGGGTCCAGGGTCCAGGGTCCAGGGTCCAGGGTCCAGGGTCCAGGGTCCAGGGTCCAGGGTCCAGGGTCCAGGGTCCAGGGTCCAGGGTCCAGGGTCCAGGGTCCAGGGTCCAGGGTCCAGGGTCCAGGGTCCAGGGTCCAGGGTCCAGGGTCCAGGGTCCAGGGTCCAGGGTCCAGGGTCCAGGGTCCAGGGTCCAGGGTCCAGGGTCCAGGGTCCAGGGTCCAGGGTCCAGGGTCCAGGGTCCAGGGTCCAGGGTCCAGGTCCAGGGTCCAGGGTCCAGGGTCCAGGGTCCAGGGTCCAGGGTCCAGGGTCCAGGGTCCAGGGTCCAGGGTCCAGGGTCCAGGGTCCAGGGTCCAGGGTCCAGGTCCAGGGTCCAGGGTCCAGGGTCCAGGGTCCAGGGTCCAGGGTCCAGGGTCCAGGGTCCAGGGTCCAGGGTCCAGGGTCCAGGGTCCAGGGTCCAGGTCCAGTCCAGGGTCCAGGGTCCAGGGTCCAGGGTCCAGGGTCCAGGGTCCAGGGTCCAGGGTCCAGGGTCCAGGGTCCAGGGTCCAGGGTCCAGGGTCCAGGGTCCAGGGTCCAGGGTCCAGGGTCCAGGGTCCAGGGTCCAGGGTCCAGGGTCCAGGGTCCAGGTCCAGGGTCCAGGGTCCAGGGTCCAGGTCCAGGGTCCAGGGTCCAGGGTCCAGGGTCCAGGTCCAGGGTCCAGGGTCCAGGGTCCAGGGTCCAGGGTCCAGGGTCCAGGGTCCAGGGTCCAGGGTCCAGGGTCCAGGGTCCAGGGTCCAGGGTCCAGGGTCCAGGGTCCAGGGTCCAGGGTCCAGGGTCCAGGGTCCAGGGTCCAGGGTCCAGGTCCAGGGTCCAGGTCCAGGGTCCAGGGTCCAGGGTCCAGGGTCCAGGGTCCAGGGTCCAGGGTCCAGGGTCCAGGGTCCAGGGTCCAGGGTCCAGGGTCCAGGGTCCAGGGTCCAGGGTCCAGGGTCCAGGGTCCAGGGTCCAGGGTCCAGGGTCCAGGGTCCAGGGTCCAGGGTCCAGGGTCCAGGGTCCAGGGTCCAGGGTCCAGGGTCCAGGTCCAGGGTCCAGGGTCCAGGGTCCAGGGTCCAGGGTCCAGGGTCCAGGGTCCAGGGTCCAGGGTCCAGGGTCCAGGGTCCAGGGTCCAGGGTCCAGGGTCCAGGGTCCAGGGTCCAGGGTCCAGGGTCCAGGGTCCAGGTCCAGGGTCCAGGGTCCAGGGTCCAGGGTCCAGGGTCCAGGGTCCAGGGTCCAGGGTCCAGGGTCCAGGGTCCAGGGTCCAGGGTCCAGGGTCCAGGGTCCAGGGTCCAGGGTCCAGGGTCCAGGGTCCAGGGTCCAGGGTCCAGGGTCCAGGGTCCAGGGTCCAGGGTCCAGGGTCCAGGGTCCAGGGTCCAGGGTCCAGGTCCAGGGTCCAGGGTCCAGGGTCCAGGGTCCAGGGTCCAGGTCCAGGGTCCAGGGTCCAGGGTCCAGGGTCCAGGGTCCAGGGTCCAGGGTCCAGGGTCCAGGGTCCAGGGTCCAGGGTCCAGGGTCCAGGGTCCAGGGTCCAGGGTCCAGGGTCCAGGGTCCAGGGTCCAGGGTCCAGGGTCCAGGGTCCAGGGTCCAGGGTCCAGGGTCCAGGTCCAGGGTCCAGGGTCCAGGGTCCAGGGTCCAGGGTCCAGGGTCCAGGGTCCAGGGTCCAGGGTCCAGGGTCCAGGGTCCAGGGTCCAGGGTCCAGGGTCCAGGGTCCAGGGTCCAGGGTCCAGGGTCCAGGGTCCAGGGTTCAGGGTCAGGGTCCAGGGTCCAGGGTCCAGGGTCCAGGGTCCAGGGTCCAGGGTCCAGGGTCCAGGGTCCAGGGTCCAGGGTCCAGGGTCCAGGGTCAGGGTCAGGGTCCAGGGTCAGGGTCAGGGTCAGGGTCCAGGGTCAGGGTCCAGGGTCAGGTCAGGGTCAGGGTCAGGGTCCAGGGTCCAGGGTCCAGGGTCAGGGTCAGGGTCAGGGTCAGGGTTCAGGGTCAGGGTCAGGGTCAGGGTCAGGGTCAGGGTTCAGGGTCAGG